TTTTGAATATGTGGTGGAAAAGAGAAGCTAAAAAAAGGAGTAGGCATCGTGGACACCTTTTGAGAGGAGTTGCCCCTGAAGGAGAGAACCAGACACTACACTAGAAGACAGATTTTGGCACCTCACATTTTCACCCCATCTCCCACTGCTGATGGGGTTTGGTTTCTGGGTAGAGTGTGCCCATCAGAAAAACCAAAGGACTAAGAAGGTGGCTGGAAAAGTCGCCCATCTTAACTGTCTTCCTTGCCTGAGTCTGCAACTATGATGCAAACTTTCCAAAATGCTTTGTTTAGCAAATGAAGAGTTGGCTGTGGGATTTAAGAAAAAAATCCTCATAGTATGTTTGTACCCATCCCAAATACACTTTCAGGAGAAGCTTTTTTAAATAAATATAATTTAAAAGTAAAATGTAGTTATTTCTATTTAAGACAAGCCCCATCTTGAACACATTTACATTTTTTTCTTCCCCCATGTACAGCTTATTTCCTGAAAAATGCTGAAAAGATTTAAGTGTCTAATATTTTCCAAGGCCATCTCGTGATTCATCAGTTTATTGTTTGTTAAAATATCAGCCTCAAGAAACTGGCTTAAATGGGAATGTTCATCTGGACTTTCTCTTTTGATTTACTTCATGGATGACATGAGAATGAATTAAAAGATTAAAAAGTCAACATTTTGCTGAGTCCCTTGAATAACAAAGGAGTTCTGAAGAACCAAGTGAGGCTCTAACAGGCAACCCTCATGCTGTGATGTAGAATCACATATTAATAGAATTTGTAACCAGGAAGGGCCTAAGACCCATCACCTCATTTCACAGAGGAAGAAACTGAGCCCTAGAAAAGAGAAATGACTAACTCAGGATCACCAGTGGCAGGTGGCAGAGCTAGGAGTAGAATTTAAGTCTCTTGAGACTTATCCTCCAGTGTTCTCTCGCTCCTGCTTTGCTTATTTTTATGTGTGCTCTTTTTGATCACACTTCTCTTTTCTGCTTTCTGGCCTTTTCTACTTCACTAGGAGTTGGACACCTTTCTGAGTATCCTTATTTATGAAAAATACAGAGATTATTCAAGAGCTTCTTTCCTTCTCACTTAGAGCTCTATGGAAGTCAATACATCCTGCAGATGAGAAAGAAAAAAGCTCAGAGAGGAAGTTTGACTTGCCTGAGGCCACACAGCTAAGGTTAGAACTTAGGCCTCCCAAATAAGCCAATGTTTGTCTCATCTCATTAAAATAGGTGGCCTAGGCTCTGCGCCTGTGGCTCAAGTGGTTAAGGCGCCAGCCACGTACACCCAAGGTGGCGGGTTCAAATCCAGCCTGGGCCCACCAAACAACAATTACAGCTGCAACCAAAAAATAGCTGAGTATTGTGCTGGGCACCTGTGGTCCCAGCTACTCTGGAGGCCGAGGCAAGAGACTTGCTTGAGCCCAGGAGTTAGAGGTTGCTGTGAGCTGTGATGCCATGGCACTCTACCCAGGGGGACAGTTTGAGGCTCCTGTCTCACAAAAAAAAAAAAAAATAGGTGGCCTAGGACATTGAATGCAGGCACTGCATTTTTGTTTAAAGACATATGTAGTAAAAAAAAATACAATAAAATAAAGACATATGTAGTAAGCAGAATTTAGTCTAATAAATGCCATCCAAGGGGGACTAATGAAGTATGAAAAGGGCCTCATTAAAAGGCGTTCCAAAGTGAATGTTACAAAGAAGTTTCTGTGTAATTTTCCAATCATTTTACCTCCAGATTTCTATCCATAGAGTTCATGTGGGTCTGCATGTACTTTATGATGGTCTGAGTCAAGGTTGACTTGAGCAGAAAGCTGCTAAAAGTCCGGGACCATTGTTTACCCTATGAAAGTAATATAAGCACATATGCAGTAATATAAGCACATTTGGAAAGTTTGTGAAAAAAATATACATCCATAGTTCTACCATCCAGCATGTTATTATTATTTTGTACATTCCTTTTCTGTCTTTTTAGTTAGAAGTGTTTTTACATCGTTTTAAATGGTCGTCCTCCAATTTCCATAGCATACTTATGTCCCCGTATCATGCTTTCCACTGCGGCATTAGACCGTGACCGTTTCTCACATGAGGAGTTGTTTTCAGGATTATCATTTTTAATGGCTACAAAACAGTCCACCTTGTTGAGGGGGGGTCCCAGGAGCCTCTGGAGGATCATTTGTTTTCATTTCAAAAAGTAATAAGTAGCTCAATTATTAATTGAAAGCCATTTTCATTTAAAGCTGACCGTGCCAGGCTATACTAACTCAGCACAACACTGGGCACTAAGTCCTAAGGAATACACTGGATGGCTATTGACTATCTTTATTTTTATTGGATTATTCAATCTACACTTACAATGGATTACAGGCTAAAAACAGAAAGCATAAGGAACATCGTTATTAAAATGTAACAAGTGGCTAGGCACAGTGGCTCACACTTGTAATCCTGGTGCTTTAGGTGGATTGCCTGAGCTCAGGAGTTTGAGACCAGCCTGACCAAGATGGAGACTCCATCTCTACTAAAAATAGAAAAACCAGCTGGGCGTGGGGGCACTCGCCTGTAGTCCCAGCCACTGGGGAGGCGGAGGCAAGAGGATTGCTGAAGCCCAAGAATTTGAGGTTGCTGTGAGATATGAGACCATGGCACTCTACCAAAGGCAACACAGTGAGACTATGTCTCAATAAATAAATAAAACAAAACATAATAAGTTAGCTTGGCACCTGTAGCTCAGCAACTAGGGGTGCCAGCCACATACACCAGAGCTGGTGGGTTCAAACCTAGCCTGGGCCTGCCAAACGATAATGACAACTACAACCAAAAAATAGCTGGGTATTGTGGCAGGTGCCTGAGGTGAGAGAATCACTTAAGGCCAAGAGTTTGAGGTCACTGTGAGCTGTGACGCCACAGCACTCTACTGAGGGCAACATAGTGAAACTCTGTCTCAAAAAATAATAATAATGATAAAGTTAATGAGAAGAATTAAAATTTTAACATATTACAATATAGATGAATTTTAAAACCATTATGCTAAGTGAAATAAGTCAGACACAACAGGACACACGTATGGCTCCTTTACATGAAATACCCAGAATAGGCCCATCTATAGAGACAGAAAGCTGATAAATGGTTGTCAGAATGTGAGGGAGGGGAAATTTAGGAACTACTGCTTAGTGGACACAGGGGTTGTGTTGGGTGATGATGAGAACTAGATAGCATTGATAATTGTACAATGTCAAGAATGTACTGTCACTTCTAGTAAATTTTGTTATATGTACAACCATAAAAATTATAATTCTAAAAAATTTCTTTGCCAGATATATGTTCTATTTACTTTACAATCCTAATAGAAAACATCGAAACATGTCTGATGCTTGAAAATCCATTTTAAGAATGGGGAGGAGTATATATCTTAATTTTTTTGTTGTTGCTATAACTGAATGCCACAGACTGGATAATTTATAAAGTGTTTTATTTAACTCATGATTCTGGCGCCTGAGAAGTGCAAGAGCATCGCACGTACATTTGGTGGAGGCTTTCCTGCTGCATCGTGATATGGTGGGAGGCATCATATGCTGAGACAGAGCAAGCTGCTAGCTCAGGTCTCTCTCTTTCCTTATAAATGCTAATCTCATCATGGGAGCCCCACTTCACGATCTTCTCTAATTCTAATTACCTCATTAAAAAAAACCTCCAAATGTCATCAGCATATACATCTGGGTATTAAATTTCTAACACATAAAATTTGGGGAACTCATTCAAACTATTAAAAGAAGCAATTCATGGCTCAGTGCCTGTAGATCAGTGGTTAGGGTACCAGCCACATTCATCAAGGCAGACAGGTTCAAACCGGCCCAGGTTCAACACATTGTCAAACAACAACAACAACAAAATAGCCGGATATTGTGGTGGGCGCCTGTAGCCCCAGCTACTTGGGAGGCTAAGGCAAGAGAATTGCGTAAGCCCAAGAGTTTGAGGTTGCTGTGAGCTGTGACAACACAGCACTCTACTGAGGGCAACATAATGAGACTCTGTCTAAAAAAAAAAAAAAAAGAAAAAGAAGCAATTTACTTACTGGGAATAATGATGATCTATAGTTGAATTCCTTTCCCAAATGTATTTGTAAACAAGTGTTTGCAAATGACAGCTTGAAATTTCTCATGTCTTCATTTTGGAACAAAATAGAAAACTTATAAAAAATAAAACAGTTGAGATCATAAACATGATGATTGGACTTTCACACTAATATGTGAGATGTGTCTCCTTCAAACCTTGTTATAACATTGGCACATTACTCATTGGATGTGAAAAACAATTTCTTTTAGATTCAAAGAAAAAGATAGGTTAAGCTAAAATACAAGAATTCTGAACATGAGGCAATGAAAACAGGTTTTGTCCATATTAATGCCATAGCATGTAAGTTACTTTTAATCTATATTGAATATGGATTTGATCTCTACATTACATACAATAAACTATTGAATTTCAAATTTTAAATCACAAATTATAATTTTTCTTCTGTAATTAATTTAAAGTATATGTCACATGTTAAATAGGAAGTCAAATTTGTCTTAGTAGTGTGGATATTGTTGACAATTAAATTAATCGTTTTTATACAATCCTTTTTTATTTTTTTGAGACAGAGTTGTCACCCACATAGAGTGCTGTGGTGTCATTATAGGTCACAGCAACCTCAAACTTTTGGGCTCAAGCGATTCTCCTGCCTCAGTCTCCTGAGTACCTGGATCTACAGGTGCCTGCCATCATGCACAGCTAATTTTTCTATTTTTGGTAGAGATGTGGTCTTACTCTTGCTCAGGCTGGTTTCAAACTCCTGAGGTCAAGGAATCCACCAGCCTTAACCTCCCAGAATGCCAGGATTATAGGCTTGAACCACCAGGCCTGACATTTTTTTATGCAATACAAATACTATTTTCTTTAAAAGTAAAATATTTTACATAAAATTTGTAAAACATATACTAATGACAAAATATTTATAAATGTAATATTTTTAGTATTTTTGAGGTACTTATAACAATGGCTGGGACATAATAAGCATTATATGTATTTCTTAAAATAAAAAGAATGCAAAATTGTAAAATGATATTTAAAAATATTACAAGTTTTGTAAGATATATATGAATTGAGAAGGGGGACTTTCATAATAAAAAGTATATATACAGTTTATGTGATCATTCCCTTATTGTTGGCTATTCAGGTTACTGCTGTTTCTTGCTTTTTTTAATGTATTACTGTGATAAACACTTTTCAAGCATTAAGAAGTTTTTGTGCTTTATTATTGAAGTATTTTCACAGAATAGGATAATTGGTGTAAGAGTTGGGACCATGTTATTACTTTTGATATGTGCTATAGTCACTAATCTTGTCTTTGTGGCACTTTGCATAAGGAAAAATATAAAGCTTCAACTCGGAGTCAACTCTGTGCAAGAGCCTTTACCAACCTTGTTGCTATGATTGAATATTTGTTCCCTCCAAAGCTCATGTTGAAATTCAATCCCCAGTGTGGCAGTATCAAGTGGTGGGTCTCTAAGAGGTAGTTAGGTTTTGAGGGGTCTGCCCTCATGTATGTATTAGACCATTAATGGATTAATGGATTTCCATGGTTAACCCATGGGAATGGGATTGGTGGCTTTATAAAGAGAGACCTGAGCTGGCATGCTCGGCCCACTTGCCATGCAACTCCCTATGCTAATTCAGAAATCTGCACAAAATCCCACTAGCAAAAAGGCCCTCACCAGATGTAACTTCTCAACTTTGGGCTTCTCAGCCTCCGTAGCTGTAAGAAATAAATGTCTTTCCTTTATAAATTACCCAGTTTCAGGTATTCTGTTATAAGCAACAGAAAACAGATGTTTTCAATCTTTATAACAACTCTGTAGGGTAGGTAGTATTATTATTCCCTTTTTCTAGATGAGTAAACTGAGACTTGAAGCCTTGAATTGTCATGACCTGGTATCTAAGAGGAGCCCTGAGTTTCAACTGTAGGGACGCCAAGCAGGAAAGACTTAGGTAAACTTCTTTTTCTCAGCTGCAGGTAGGGGAGAAGGTCAATTTGTTGTCTCCTACACAGGAGATGGAGAAGGCTTATCCATCATCATGGACCTGGAAATCTTAACAGTTAAAACTGGAAAGATGGAAATGGGTCAGAGAGCAGGGCAAGGGTGATTAATAAGTTACTTGGTATATTAATTTCCTAGGTACTGACTGGATTTTTAATGATATTATTGTGGTAATGTTTAAAAAAGAATTCTTACATTTTGGAGATCCATGTTGAAATATTTGTGGATGAAATGATGTGATGTTTGGAATTTTCTTCCAAACTATTAGGGGAGGAATGCAGATAAAATGGCAATGCTATGAGTTAGTTTTTTTTGGCTACAAATTAATAAATGAGGTTAATCGTTTTTTTTTTTGTATTTCTATAAATGTTTTTAAAGTTTGAAAAGCCACCAAGCCTAAGAAGTTTTATGAGAGAGAACTACTGAACTTTCCAGCTATAATGAATATAATTTTATGGTACAGACATTATTCCAGAGTTAGAAAGATGTCTATCTCATTTTGTCAGACTAGCTGAGCAGTGATGTCAAATTGGAATAAGATCTACCTCACTTGTAACATAGATGCACAAATGCAATTTAAATTTAGGCAAAGTAAATGTAATAGTATATCAAGGACAAATATATTAGGACAGAGGGAGGTTAATTACAGATACCTAAGAATCTAATTTTTACTTAGAAAGTTTAGATAATTCACTACATGCACAAATTAAAGCTTCTGATTATATCAAATGAACGCTTTGGGTGTGTTTGTTATTACAATATATCCAAGCCTATCTTGACTTGATTAATAAAACCTAAAGTAAATCCATATCTTTATCCTTCTCCTGACCAATAAATCCAGTCACTACCCTTCCT